GTCTTCAGGTAAACTTGCAGCTTTGGGACAGGAGATTCAGACCCTGGATCTGTGTCTGGAGCCAGACGGGAGTGTCTGGCTCAGCAAGACAGGGTGCTGGAGTCCTGAGCTGGCAGGGAAAACAGAAGCAGGGGTAGTCTTTGCACATCTGGTGGCAGCTCCCAAGGGGGTTTCTGTGATCCAACCCGTCACAGTCCCACCATCAACCTCAGCCTTGACCAATCTACACAGGAGGTCCACTTCCGAGACACCACAGTACAAATACGTGACAGTCATGTTAACACCACCCTATACCGAAAACCCACCGACTGCTATGCCTACCTTCATGCCTCCAGCTTCCATCCTGGACACACCACACGATCCATCATCTACAGCCAAGCATTGAGGTACAACCGCATTTGCTCCAAGTCCTCAGACAGAGACCAACACCTACAAGATCTTCACCAAGAATTCTCAAAACTACGATACCTGCACAAGGAAATAAGAAAACAAATCAACAGAGCCAGACGTGTACCCTGAAGCCTCCTGCTGCAAGACAAGCCCAAGAAAGAAACCAACAGAACTCCACTGGCATCACCTACAGTCCTCAGCTAAAATTTCTCCAACACATCATCAGTGATCTACAACCCACCCTGGACAATGATCCCTCGCTTTCACAGACTTTGGGAGGCAGGCCAGTCCTTGCCCACAGCCAACCTGCCAACCTTAAGCATATTCTCACCAGCAACCACGCACCGCACCATAACAACTCTAACTCAGGAACCAACCCATGCAACAAACCTCGATGCCAACTCTGCCCACATATCTACACCAGCAACACCATCACAGGACCTAACCAGATCAGCTACAACATCACCGGCTCATTCACCTGCAAGTCCACCAATGTTATATATGCCACCATGTGCCAGCAATGCCCCTCTGCAATGTACATCAGCCAAACTGGACAGTCCCTACATAAAAGGATAAATGGACACAAGTCAGATATTAGGAATGGCAATATACAAAAACCTATAGGAGAACACTTCAACCTCCCTGGACAAACAATAGCAGATGTAAAGGTAGCCATCTTACAGCAAAAAAACTTCAGGACCAGACTCCAAAGAGAAACTGCTGAGCTTCAGTTCATTTGCAAATTTGACACCATCAATTTAGGATTAAACAAAGACTGTGAATGGCTGGCCAACTACAAAAGCAGTTTCTCCTCCCTTGGTGTTCACACCTCAACTGCTAGCAGAGGACCTCACCCTCCCTGATTGAACTAACCTCGTTATCTCCAGACTGATTCTTGCCAGCATATTTATACCTTCCTCTGGACATTTCCATTACATGTGTCTGACGAAGTGGGTATTCACCCATGAAAGCTTATGCTCCAATATTTCTGTTAGTCTATAAGGTGCCACAGGACTCTTTGTTGCTTTTTACCTGTAATCAGTTTCATAATGTATTAGGCGTAGACTTGCATGTTTTGTTTTATTCTGTTTTGTAACTTACTTTGTTCTGGCTGTTATTACTAGAAACCTCTTAAATCCTACTTTTATACTTAATAAAATTAATTTTTGTTTATTACTCATAGATTCATAGACTTTAAGGTCAGAAAGGACCATTATGATCATCTAGTCTGACCTCCTGCACAACGCAGGCCACAGAATCTCACCCACCCACTCCTGTAACAAACTCCCAATCTATGCCTGAGTTATTGAAGTCCTCAAATAGTGGTTTAAAGACCTCAAGGTGCAGAGAATCCTCCTGCAAGTGACCCGAGCCCCATGCTGCAGAGGAAGCCGAAAAACCTCCAGGACCTCTGCCAATCTGCCCTGTAGGAAAATTCCTTCCCAACCCCAAATATGGTGATCAGCTACACCCTGAGCATGTGGGCAAGACTCACCAGCCAGCACCCAGGAAAGAATTCTCTGTAGTAACTCAGATCCCACCCCAGCTAACATCCCATCACAGACCATTGGGCATATTTACCTGCTAATAATCGAAGATCAATTAATTGCCAAAATTAGACTATCCCATCATACAATCCCCTCCATAAACTTATCAAGCTTAGTCTTGAAGCCAGATAGGTCTTTTGCCTCTACTGCTCCCCTTGGAAGGCTGTTCTAGAACTTCACTCCTCTAATGGTTAGAAACCTTTGTCTAATTTATTGATAAACCCAGAGTAAGTGATTAATTCCTAGGGGAGCAAACAGCTGTGCATATCTCTCTATCAGTGATACAGAGGGTGAACAATTTACGAATTTGCCCTGCATAAGCTGTATACAGAGTAAAACGGATTTATTTGGGGTTTGGATCCCATTAGGAGCTGGGTGTCTGAGTGCTGGAGACAGATAACCTGCTGAGCTGTTTTTAGTTAAAGTCTGCAGCTTTGGGGGCATGGGCCAGACCCTGGGCCTGTGCTGCAGCACAACAAGGCAGGGTTATGGAGTCCCAAGCTGGCAGAGGAAATGGGCTCAGAGGTAATTTCAGCACATCAGGTGACAGTCCCAAGGGGATCTCTGTGACCGAACCCGTCATACCTGGTATTGTTTAATTGGTTTCGTTTTTGTAATCAAGGTGTGAGTAAGTGGGGTGTTATTCAGATCCCTGAACTGCCAACACTACATAACTTTTAATCAAGAGGCTTGACTCTAGATCCAACACTGGTGTTAGGAGGAGCCCAAGCATCATTATTTAGGCTGAGCTGCAGAGGGAGAGCAGGTGGCTGGAAGCTGCAGCTCGGTGACGATGGCAGAGTTCAATGTCGGGAGCGTTCTGGTGACTGGATCCAATCGAGGAATCGGCCTGGGACTCGTGAAGCAATTTCTAGAGCTACCAAATCCACCAGAATGGATCTTTGCCACCACCAGGGAGCTGGATGGATCCCAAAGCAAGGTGAGGATGAAATCTGGGCTTTACAGGAAGGTTTGGGCAACTGATGGCCCAGAAACAGCCTGAGAATTGGGTTTCCCTGCAGTACAGGCTGCAACGATGGGATAAGATAAGGAGCGGGTTCCCTTTAAAAGCATTTGAGAGGCTCAAATGAGAAACCCAGAGCTCACTGTAAAACTCAAACACTAGTTTGAGTCTCAGCTCAGGAATAGAGAGGCAAGATGCTACCAATATTTTAACAAGGGGCTTGTTATAAAATGTTCCACTGTGGCCTGTGATAAACCCCATGCCCTAAAGGTATCTAGAGAGGGCTGACTCTGTCAGAGACAGGACAGAGAAATCACCCAGGCCCCCTACATTTCTACATTTGTTTGCCAGAGGCTGAGAATGGGAGACAGGGGATGGGTCACTTGATGATTACCTGTTCTGTTCATTCCCTCTGGAGCACCTGGCATTTGCCACTGTCGGAAGACAGGACACTGGGCTAGATGGACCTTTGGTTTGACCCAATATGGCCGTTCTTATGTGGTGGAATTTTGTAACTGGGTCTCTTGTGACACCCCATCCCCACTGCACAAGGCTGCAGAGGAGCCTCTCTGAGGTATCTGGTTCACTCACCCACATGCCACTTGTTGTGGGACAGGGGAGTTCCAGGAGTTGGCTGCTCCACACTCAGTCACCAGCACCTTCCTTGAAGGTTTCACCCAATCCCAGGTACTGCACAGCTGAGGTCAGAGCCATCCTACACACTGATCATCTTCCAGTATTTTTCTAACCGAGTGAAAATGTTTCTCTTTCCAGGAGGTAATGGAGCTGGCATTGAAGCATCCAAACCTGGTGGTGCTGCAGCTGGGTATGTAGCCATCTCTGCATCTATTCATTCAGACAGGGGTGGGCTTGGGAGGAAGATGAGGGGCCCAATTCTCCATGGATGGCACAATGTGGTGCCACACTTGTGCATGGTGGTGAAGCACTAACAGTTCAGAGTGGAGCATGTCACACCCACTCTGCCCCGCTGTAATGGCTGACTGCTAATAGAGTTACTCTTAACTCAAGTGGAAGAGACCCATGATTTTAGTGCTGAAGGTACAAACCCAGTGCGGGTTCTATGCCTTATCCACTAAGTCTTCATTAAGAGTGCCCAAGGGACTGATATTTCATCTCCTACCAAATCTTGCAATACCCCCATGGCACCTGTGGCATGTGTCCCTGTGCAACTGCTGCACATTGTTTGCAGTTTCCTAGCCCGCAAATTCCAATAATCTCTCCCTGCATGCAGAGCCAACAGCTGTTTTGTTCTCAGAAGTTCAGCAGCTTGTGCTCTCTCATGGGAACTTTGATTCTTTCTTATGGGTTTCCAGGATCTAAAATAAATGCCATATTAGATTGAAAGCTGTGGGTTTCTATTTGGATCCAGAAAAAACATGATGATGACGCTTGTGTTTGTGGTGTGCTTGCTGCTTGTCTGAAATATATCCTGTGCTATGTTTGTTTGTTTGGGGGACCATGTGCTGACCGTGTGTGTGCTGAGCCCAGCGGCCTGCTAGGCAAGGCTGAGAGTTTCTTAAGGAGGCTGTGATCCCTAAGCCTTTTAGCACCCATCAACCCTTAACTAGGGGGCGGGGCTACTCAGGGAGACCAGGGCTTTAAAAAGCCTGCTTCTAAGCGACCAGAGGAGCTAGCGAACAGGAGCAGTTAACAGGGGAGTTTTGCGAGGGAGTTCTCCAGGGGGAGCATGAGCAGGGGCTAGAATTCAACATTCTTTAAACTTAAAAGCCAAAACCACCCCCTTGATATAAACAAAACAACAACAAAGGAACCAGCTGCAGGAGTAAAAAGACAATGCAGGCAGAAGTCCAGCAACAGAGTGGGGGCTACCCAGTTTATTGCACCCAATGCAGCATGTATGATTACCTGCCCTGTGGGCAGGTGGTGTATGTGTGCATTTGGTGCAAGGAGCTCTTGGCCCTCTGAGACCGTGTACGGGCTTTGGAGACCAGAATGGCTGAACTGGAGAAGCTGAGGGAGACAGAGAGGTACACAGATGAGACTTTCTGGGACACAGTAGAACAGACCCACCCCTGGTCTGGCAACCTATGTGCTATTGAGGAGGATGAAAGTCCCAGGGAAGGGGAACATCCAACTGGAGCAGAGGGAAACAATCCCCTAGTTGGGACCCTCCTTCCAGATGATGTTGTGATATCCTCTCACACTGAGGATACCTCTCCGGGGGAGGGAACTCCAGGTATTAGAAAGAGACAGGTATTAGTAATGGGTGATTTGATCATTAGAAACATAGAGAGCTGGGTTTGCAAAGACCGGGAGAACCGTATGGTGACTTGCCTGCCTGGTGTGAAGGTTGCGGATCTCTCAAGACCTCTAGATAGACTTATGTGTAGTGCTGGGGAGGAGCCGGTGGTCATGGTACATGTAGGTACCAGTGACATAGGGAAGGATAGGAGAGAGGTCCTGGAGGCCAAATTTAGGCTGCTAGGTAAGAGATTGAGGTCCAGGGGGAAGGGATAGCTCAGTGGTCTGAGCATTAGCCTGCTAAACCCAGGGTTGTGAGTTCAATCCTTAAGGGGGCCACTTGGGGATCCAGGGCAAAATCAGTACTTGGTCCTGCTAGTGAAGGCAGGGGGCTGGACTCGATGACCTTTCAAGGTCAAAATGGAACCAGATTGCTGGCACTTAACATTAAAAAGGTCGTAGAGCAGTTTTTAAACTAAGGGCTGGGGAAAAGCCGACAGGTGCAGAGAAGAACATGGTTTGGACATCCCTTAGGGGAGGATCTATTAATAGAGAATCTCTATGTCCTAGTGGAGACGAGAGGATGGAAAATGATAAAATACAGGCAGGGTTTGATCAGAAACAATCAAATAAAAAAGAGTCCCATTCAATTACATTGTGTAATGGCAGACAGATAAAAGGGTACAAGTTTTTAAAGTACTTATATAACAATGCTAGAAGTCTAAATAATAAAATGGGTGAACTAGAGTGCCTTGTATTAAATGAGAATATTGATATAATAAGCATGTAAGGGTTCCTCGCTCTCCCGCTCGGAGGGAGGCCACTCCGGCTGGCCCCAGTCTGGTCCGGACCAGAGTCTGCAGGGTAGCCGGGAGCCCACAATAGGGCTGGGGGATCAATTGTCACTACCAGGCTTCGGCCTGGGCTGGGGTAGCTCAAGTAGTCCACAAATAACCAGTCTTTAAAGGCGGGCCTTGGCCTGGGTGGAACCCAGGCAGCCAGTGAGCAAACAGTCTTTAGAGGGCTGGCGTTAACCTGGGCAGGGCTCTCCAGGTGAGTGATAAGGGAGCTCCCGTCCTGGGCTAGAGCCTCCTTGCACCGGGTGGGTGGTCAGCCACCCGGGCTGGGCAGCAAGGGGACGCAGGCCCACCCTACTCCACCGCATCCCAGCCCAGGGCCCTGGCAGGGGCAGGACTGGCTGCCCCTGTGTCGGCGGGGATCCGGCCGCAACACGCCGACTGAGCTACGCCGGGCTCTCCAGCTGGCTGCTCCGTGGCTGCCCCTGGGCTACTTCCTGCCTCCCCAGGGTTTGATACCTGCGGCCTCCAGGCTTCTTCCAGCTCCTTGGGGAAAATCGCCGCAGGTTCTCTGGACCAGACCTCGTCCACGCCTGGGGATCGGGAACAGCCAGGTGCAGGCTCCTCTCGGGGGCCTCTGGAGAACAGGCCGAACGTCCTCCTCCGTTGCAGGCGCTCCCCCAGCTGTGCTGCAGGGCCGGCCTTTTATACTTCCGGCCATGCCCCGGTCCTTCCGGTCAGGGGGGCGGGGCGATCTAGGCTCTGCCCTCCAAGGGGCATGTAGGGGTCCCTTGCTCTCCCACTCGGAGGGAGGCCACTCAGCCTCACTACAAGGCATCACAGAAACTTGGTGGAATGAGGATAATCAATGGGATACAGTAATACCAGGGTACAAAATATATCGGATGGACAGAACAGGTCGTGCTGGAGAGGGAGTGGCATTATATGTGAAAGAAAGCGTAGAATCAAATGAAGTAAAAATTGTAAATGAATCAAACTGTACCATAGAATCTCTATGGATAGAAATTCCATGCTCTAATAATAAGAATATAGGCGTGGGGATATATTACCGACCATCTGACAGGATGGTGATAGTGACTGTGAAATGCTCAGGGAGATTAGAGAGGCTATTAAAATAAAAAACTCAATAATAATAAGGGGGGATTTCCGTTATCCCCATATTGACTGGGTACATGTCACCTCAGGATGGGATGCAGAGATAAAGTTTCTTGACACCTTAGATGACTGCTTCTTGGAGCAGCTGGTCCTGGAACCCACCAGAGGAGAGGCAATTCTTGATTTAGTCTCAAGTGTAGCACAGGATCTGGTCCAAGAGATGAATAGAGCTGACCTGCTTGGCAATAGTGATCATAATATAATTAAATTTAATATCCTTGTGGCAGGAAAAACACCACAGTGGCCCAACACTGTAGCATTTAATTTCAGAAAGGGGAACTACACAAAAATGAGGAGATTAGTTAAACAGAAATTAAAGGGTACAGTGCCAAAAGTGAAATCTCTGCAAGCTGTATGGAAACTTTTTAAAGACACCATAATAGAGGTTCAACTTAAATGTATCCCCAAATTAAAAAACATAGTAAGAGAACCAAAAAAGAGCCACCATAGCTAAACAACAAAGTAAGAGAAGCAGTGAGAGGCAAAAAGGCATCCTTTAAAAAGTGGAAGTTAAATCCTAGGAGGAAAATAGAAAGGAGCATAAACACTGGCAAATGAAGTGTAAAAATACAATTAGGAAGGCCAAAAAAGAATTTGAGGAACAGTTAGCCAAACACTCAAAAAGTAATATCAAAAATTTTTTTAAGTACATCAGAAGCAGGAAGCCTGCTAAACAACCAGGGGGGCCGCTGGACGATTGAGGTGCTAAAGGAGCACTCAAGGATGATAAGACCATTGCTGAGAAACTAAATGAATTCTTTGCATCGGTCTTCACAGCTGAGGATGTGAGGGAGATTCCCAAACCTGAACCATTCTTTTTAGGTGACAGATCTGAGGAACTGTCCCAGATTGAGGTGTTATTAGAGGAGGTTTTGGAACAAATTGATAAATTAAACAGCAATATGTCACCAGGACCAGGTGGTATTCACCCAAGAGTTCTGAAGGAACTCAAATGTGAAATTGCAGAACTAACAAATGTAGTCTGTAACCTATCATTTAAATCAGCTTCTGTACCAGATGACTGGAGGATAGCTAATGTGGCGCCAGTTTTTAAAAAGGGCTCCAGAGGTCATCCCAGCAATTACAGGCCTGTAAGCCTGACTTCAGTACTGGGGAAACTGGTTTAAACTATAATAAAGAACAATGTTGTCAGACATATAGATGAACATAATTTGTTGAGGAAGAATCAACATGGTTTTAGTAAAGGGAAATCATGCCTCACCAATCTACTAGAATACTCTGAGGGGGTCAACAAGCATGTGGACCAAGGGGATCCAGTGGATATAGTGTACTTAGATTTTCAGAAAGCCTTTGACAAGGTCCCTCACCAAAGGTTCTTACGTAAAGTAAGCTTCCACGGGATAAGAGGGAAGGTGCTCTCCTGGATTTAGTTCAAAGAGATTAAGCATATTTTTTTACAAATTTCAAGGGATTTCCTCCTGCCCCTGGAATCAGAGGCAGTGTGGGAGAGTTCCCAGATGGGCTTGAGGGAGATGCAAGCGAGTTAGTGAGGCTGCTTTCATTCGCCGACCGAAGATAGGGTCAACAGCTAAATGGGCTGGTAGAGCTGATAGACAGGGCAGAGCTGCTATAGGAAGGATGATTCTGAATCCCCTGTGCTGTCTGTAGATGTCACAGATCCAAACAGCATAAAGGCAGCTGTGCAGAGAGTGGAGGAGCATGTGCAAGGACATGGACTGAATCTCCTGATAAACAACGCTGGCATAATACGGTTCACCACCATGGAGAATGAGAACGCTGAGACCATGGAACTTATATACCTAACTAACACAGTTGGGCCCCTGCTGGTGAGCCAGGTAAGAACACACCTGACAGCCAGGAAACTCCTCTGACACTGAGCAAAGACTGCCCTGGAACGAGCTGAGACTCTTGGCTCGGGCAAATTTTTGACTCATTTTTCAAAAACAAGGTGACCTGCATTTTCAGACTCAAGAGAGACTCTCTAACATCCCCTAACACTGGCCACCAGCAGGATTTGAACCTTGAGCACCAAAGAGCAGTCTTCTACCACTTGGGCTAATGAAATAACTCCACTGGTCGCAGTAGTAGGTTGTTATCCTCTGGTGCTTCAGTCAGTATAATCACATGTTCTCTTCTGGTTCAAAGGCTGTACCAGAGGGCCATGCAGCCATAAGGGTGAGGGCTAGATTGTGCCCTGCCAAGGAGCCCCTTCCCCATGTGGTTTGAGCATTGGCCTGCTAAACCTAGGCTTGTGAGTTCAATCCTTGAGGGGGCCATTTAGGGATCTGGGGCAAAAATCTGTCAGGGACGGTACTTGGACCTGCTGTGAAGGCAGGGGACTGGACTCGATGACCTTTCAAGGTTCCTTCCAGTTCTATGAAATAGGTATATCTCCATATTAAAAAATGCTCCTACCCGGAGGCTGGGCACAGGCCCAGACCATGTGTTCTAGGAGCACAAGGATTGTGCAGGGTTAATGCCTGCAGCAAGACTCACCTCTCGGAAGGAGCAGAGCAGGCTCCCTTCAGGGAGAGCACACTCTTACCCATAGAAGGGTTTCCCAGTCATCATATGCCCAAGAACTATGGGATACACCAAGCTGCCTGAATCACACACTCCATCTTCAGAGCCTCCCTCTCCCTGACCTTAACATCACTGATAGGGTCCTTCCCTGGAACAGCGGTGTCACCCCTGTTGTAACACAGTCATCGGTATCTCCCTCAGGAGTTCTTGCCATTACTGAAGAAAGCTGCCCAGCAGAGTACCCAGACAGGGCTGAGCTGCAGCAAGGCCGCCATTGTCAACATGTCCAGCATCGCTGGTTCCATAGAAGTAGTTCCAATGTGGGAATTGTGGCAAACACCCAGCTACCGCTGCAGCAAGGTACCATATGGGACCCCTCTCACTCCCTTCCAGCATAACTAGCTCCTACCTTGTATCAACACAGGTGCCTCCTCTGCTGTTCCTTCTAAACACCTCGGTCTCCCCCGCCAGCTTCCCTGCAGAGCTCCTGCCCCATTAGCCCCCTTCTACCCGGCTTCTTGCTACAGATTTAAGGAAACAGTGCATGTGTCCCTGCATCTCCTCCTTTATAGTCAACCTTTAGCCAGAATTACTCTTTAACAACAAATCAGAGATCCGGACGTATTACCAGCTTCCAAACTCATCCAGCTTTGGTCGCCATTGGGCAGTGAGGAGGGTTGTGTTCAGTGGGATCCTCTCCCCACTCTGAGACTGCCAGGAATGTTATTGCTACAAGGGTCACAGGAATTCAGCTGGGTTTGGAACCAGCTGCTGGTGCCATCTGTTCCTTGTGTACTGAACCCTGGATGAGTCTCAGCTGTGTAGAATCTCAAGGTGTAGCTACAGCCAATGCCAACAGCTGAGCTTGGCCAAGGATTTTCCTCCTTTCGTTTTATCAGGATTGGGTCTCCTGGTTTCTGCTTGGCTCAGCATTCCAGCCTATAAAAGGATAAAACCAGAGATTTCTGGGATTTGGTATCTCACAGCCTTGTACCCTTTACGCAGGGGCAGCAAAGATTGAAGATTTATTGTGAGGTGGGCAGTTTTCTTTTGGTCTGTTGCTAGAGTTGCCAACCCTCCAGGATGGGCCTGGAGTCTCCCAGAATCAGTATCGATCTTCCAGTGACCATTGAAAGCAATCCAGGAGATTTTAATGGGATATTTTAAGAAAATTACATCATGTTATGTGTGTGTGGGGGGGAAATCTCTCAGAATAGCTTCAATGAGAGTTGGCAACCTTATCTGTCGCCCCAAGCTGCTGAGCTGGGTTTGTCCACTGAGTGAAGTGGGAGCTGCCCTCTAGTTCAGCAGTACTGCTTATGTATGAAGCTCCTCATATTCCGCCCAGTGCTATTTATCTCCTCCCCTGTCAGCCCAGATGACTCCCCCTCCACCCTTGCATATCAGTACTGTGGGATCGGGGGTCATGTCCTGTAGGGAAGACGGCCCTCTGTCCTGTGCTCTTATCTCTGCTCACCGTGTGTCCCACCCACAGGCTGCTCTGAACATGATCACCAGGTGCCAGTCCTTGGAGTACAAAAACTGTGGGATTCTGTGCACTTCTATCCACCCTGGCTGGGTGAAAACCAGAATGGGAACAGAGAAGGTAGGGGTCATAACACATTTACAATCTCTTGGTTAGGGTGACTGGCCACTTCCATCCACAGCACATCAGGGAGGCCTTACAGTCTTGGTTCTGCCACAGACTCATCTGTACACCCAGATCACAACTACGTTAAACTTGGGAGCAGCGCAAAGCAGACAAAGCATACTGGCCTGTTTCCCCCAGCTCCTGACCCCTGCATTCCCCTGCAAAGCCCAGTTTCCCCCTCTCTCCTCTAAACAACCCACAGCACAGCATGCAAGAGCCAGGATCCTCAGAGGTATTTGGGTACCTAACTCCCACTGATTTCTATAAATGCAATGTCCTGGCCAAAGTCCAATGTGGGGGGAAATACATTCAGCTGAGCTAAACTCCCCCTGCAGTTTGATCTGGATAGAGTGGGCCTGATTTGCCACTGCCCTGCACCTTGCACATTTCTACCAGTGTAAAGTGGGCGTTAATATCTACCACATCAGAATGCTAAGGTGTGACAGAGTATTCTTAATGTACGTAGTTAAGCATTGCCATGTTCCATGCCAGAAGTGATCCATAAATAGTGTATACAAAATTATTCATACTGCTTTCCTGCAAAGGCCTTTAATGCTTTGGGATGATTCTACAGGACTGATCCAAACCCCATTGAGGCCAATGGAAAGATTCCCATTGACAGCTATGGGGTTTTGATGAGACTCTAAATGCACAAGTGTGAGGAACATCAACTCTCATTTTAGTACATTCTTATTTATTTGTGTATTTTGTAGCACAGAGCCCACAGCCCCATTGTACTAGGCATTGTACAAATATCTGCAAAGGCAACTTACCCTGAAGATCCTACTGAAGCTAATACGATAAGATGTTGAGGGAGGAGACTTGGTCCACTGCTAGGAACATAGTAACTGTAATGCGTTCCCCCCGGGGTGCCACCTGGAACTAGGGTACTATTGAGCCTCTGACCCAACAACCTGGGCTCCCTCTCACACTGTGCTGCTGTGACAAGTTGCAAAGCCCTCCAGCCTGCACTTTCACCAGCTTTCACACAGGTATGGACACACCCAGCGGCAGTTACATGCAGGGCTCTCTAACCTCCAGCCTCCCAGCCTAGACCCCGGAGCAGCACCACCCTACCCTGGTCAAATCTGGCCAATATATGGGTTTAACACCCGGTCCGCCTCTCCCTCAATGTGAAGAGGACAATGCATACTTGTGGAAACCAAGCTGAGATTTTCCCCAGACACCTTAGTCAAATGCACACTGGTTTGGAGTACATATAAAATAAGTTTATTAACTATAAAAGGATAGATTTATAAGAGATTATAAGTGATAACAAACAGATCAAAACAGATTACCTAGTAAATAAACAAAATCGCAAACTGAGCTTAACATACTAGATAGGTA